ATCTGGGCTGCTGACACGACATCTAGACTGAGGAAGACCCAGATACTTCAGGGCCCCGTGAGCTGTGGCCAGAGCCACATCAGCAAGCACTCAGGAGGCTGGGCTAATGCTGGTGGCACATATCACCACAGGGTCACCTTAGACAAATCTCACCCAGGTTACCGTGAAGAAGCTGGTACGAGACATTACCACTTAAAGAGGAACGAGAGCGTCTGTGCAACTGTCAACCTTCATAAACTGAGGACCTTCATCAGTGAGGAGACATGGGTAAAAGCTGCTAAAAACCAGAGTGGAACTGCTCCTATCGCTGATGTGGTGTGATCGGGCTACTACAGAGTTTTAAGAAATGGAAAGGTCCCAAAAGTATCTCTTCCATCATGAAGGCCAAATTCTTCAGTAGAAGAGCTGAGGAGAAGACTAAGGGTGTGCCTCTTAGTAGCTTGAAGCCACAAGGCGGGCAGGTCACTAAATGCTAACAAGTGTTTTTCAAAAAACAAAAACAAAAACAAAACAAAACCCAAAATGCACATATAACATAACTGGAGTTACAACAAGTGATTGCTTTATGTAATAAAGTATATAAACAAAAACTTTAAAAGGAATAATCAAGTATAAAAATTTGTTTTTATCAAGCCATCTAAGTCAAAGTTTTAAGTAAATAATAAAGCATACATTAAAATTTAAGAACTAGGGCAGTCCGGGTGGCAGTTTGGCGCCACCTTCAGCCCAGGGCCTGACCCTGGAGTCCCGGGATGGAGTCCCACGTCAGGCTCCCTGCATGGAGCCTGCTTCTCCCCCCGCCTGTGTCTCTGCCTCTATCTCTCTATCCCAAAAATAAAAAAATAAAAATCTTTAAAAAAATAAAATAAAATTTAAGAACTAGTACTCAGTATGTATGTCAGGTATCACTTGAAAAGTTACAAAGAATTTCACTCTTTTAATAAATATAGAGGAAGTATCTTCTGATATTGTCTCTTATCTCAAGTGGCTTAGTCAAGTCAGCAAAATTAGTCAGGACACATCTAGATAAAATGAATAAATGCCATTAGTAAGGTATAACTCAGAAATTATGGGAATTGGGAGGAAAAGATTACTTCCAGGAAGGGATTCTAGGAAGTCTTCCTGGAAAAGAGAGCATCTGAGATGCACTTGGAAAATGAAGAGTAACTCAGACTGTAAGGAATGCAGGAGGGAGGGCCCAGCATGGACCTGAGTGGTAGTCACAAAAGGCCATGGGGCATGTGAATTACAGTGACTGGTTCCGATCAACAGTCCTTGACAGTGAGCAATAAGGCTAGAACGTATGACTGGAACCAGATCACAAAGGGTCTTAATTGCTTTGTAGAAATTGTGGTTTAGAGCCAGGGAACCAGATGAAGAATAACTTTCCAGTTAACACGTACAATGGACAGAAAAGGAGACATGAGGTAGTCGGGGACATAGGGCAGGCGAAGCTAGTGCCACAGCATAACTGGCAGCGCAGCTCTGAACTACCTGTGGTGATGGCAGTAGGAATGTAGTAGAGAGGACAAGGTGTATTATATATTGATTATCTCTCAGCACCAAAGGAGCTCCTGGGAATACAAAAATTAGAAAGACAGATTTTTTTTATTTTTAACCTGAGATGATTAGGTAGGGGCAGAAACAGAAGTCAGGAAGCCATTGAAGCTTCAATCCTAGGGATAAGACCAAGAAGGAAGAACCATCAAGACAAAACAGGGACATGGCTGAAGGAACCAGTCAGTGAAAAAGCAAACGTGCTCAAAGTCTAGTTTGAGCCTGTAAGTATTAATGGGAAATCCACGCAGACAGAACACACAAGGGGAAGCAGAGGTGAAATGGGAGGTCAGCAAAGATCATGGAGATGAAAGGTAGGTCCTGAGCGTTTACAAAACTGTTCAGGACAAGTTCCTGGGTGGGGTGGGGTGGGGTGGGGAGGATGACATGGAGACAGCAGGAAACAAGGAAAGGCCAGAGGCCTAAAGCCTAAGGAGGATTTCTGGGAAGGGAGCAAATGACAAGACCAAGGGGGCACATGGAGTGAGAATCTGGTTTCTAGGAGACTAGCAGGAGAGTGAGCAGTCAGAAACAAAGGTCCTGGGCCAGTTGTTAAAGAGTCTGCTGGTCCAGGGAAGGAGAGAAGCTTCAGGGAACAGGAGAAGCTAGGAAAGGTTCTGTTCTATTGGCAGTATTTTTTATGCTTTTTCTTTACCCTTTAAAAACAGAAGAAGTCAATGTAGTTTATTGGCTGTGAGGGAATAAAAGGTGGATGAGAAAAAAATTAAAGTGAGAGAGAAGGGATAAATGATGAGGCACAAAGGAGAGGTTGGCATTAGGATCATAAAGGACGAGTTCAGGCTCGGAGAGAAAGAGGGACAGTTGTTTCTGGGATAAAAGAAGGCAAAGCCACAGTGTTGTAGTTCAACAGTGCTCACACACAGCCTGACTTCTTCACTGAAGTAGAAGCAAGAGCTTCAGTGCAGACATGAGGGTTAGAGGTCACCTACTCAGGAAAAGATCAGAACAGGCGCTAGGGAGACTAGTTCACAATAGCAATTGGAAATTTTCCTCAAATTCCAAGAGGTTCATCAGAATAAGGAAGGTAAACTTTTACCCTAAACTTCATACTAGAGTGAAATAGAAAAAAGATATGATAAGAGAAGTGGCTAAAGAAATACTGATATTACAATGTTTAAGGGGATCCCTGGGTGGCTCAGCGGTTTAGCGCCTGCCTTTGGCCCAAAGCGTGATCCTGGAGTCCCAGGATCAAGTCCCATGTCAGGCTCCCTGCATGGAGCCTGCCTCTCCCTCTGCCTGTGTCTCTGCCTCTCTCTATCTCTCTCTCTGTCTCTCATGAATGAATAAGTAAAAATCTAAAAAAACAAAAAAAAAAACCTAAGAGGTGCTAGGTATCTCAGTGGTTGAGCCTTCAGCTCAGGTCATGATCCTGAGGTCCTAGGAGTATCTCCACCTGCCTCTTCCCCCACTCATGCTCTCTCGCTCTCACTCTCTGTCAAGTAAATAAATTGTAAAAAAAAAAAAAAAAAGAAAGAAACAAAAATAAAACAGGAAAAGGGAAAGCATTCAAATGCCCTTTAAGACATTTTTAGATTTTTTTTTTATCACAGGCAGGTCAGGTACTGCTTATTCAAAAATATATGAACATTTTCATTTTTATTTATTTATTTATTTATGATAGAGAGAGAGAGAGAGAGAGAGAGAGAGAGAGAGAGAGAGAGAGAGAGAGAGAGGCAGAGACACAGGCAGAGGGAGAAGCAGGCTCCATGCACCGGGAGCCCGATGTGGGATTCGATCCCGGGTCTCCAGGATCGCACCCTGGGCCAAAGGCAGGCGCCAAACCGCTGCGCCACCCAGGGATCCCCACATTTTCATTTTAAAAAGACCTTTTTTTTTTTTTTTAAAGCACTTTAAGCTGTAGCTTCCACGGGAGCAGAAATCCTACCTGGTTTTATTTACCAAAAAAGTGCTTGGTTTAGAGTAGGCTGTTTACAAGCTACACACGTGGAAAGACAGAGCAAAGAATAAGCATGCAGGGTGGCTGGTCTATAGTGGATTGAATGATGGCCTCCCAAAATAATGTCCACACCTGAATCCCTAGAACCTTTGATTATGACCTTATTTGAAAGAAGTCTTTGCAGATGTAATAAAGGTAAGGATCTTGAGATAAGATCATTCTGGATTCTATGGGTGGGCCTGAAATCCAATGACAAGTGTCCTTTTAAGAGAGATCAGAGCCACAGAGTCACAAGCCAAAGAAACACCTGGAACACCAGAAAAGAAACTGGCAGAGGCAAGGAACACAATCTGCCCTAAAGCCTTCTGAAAGAGCCCAGCACAGATGCCTCCTTGATTTCAGACTTCCAACCTCCTAAACTTGAGAATAAATTGTTATTTTCAGCCCCTCAGTTTGTGGCAATTTGTTATGGCAGCCCTAGGAAACTAACACAAGGCCCATACAACTATACAAGTTATAATACCAGATTAAATAGGCTGGTTTCCTCTCTAAAGATCACGGTAAGAATCTCATATCAGGTAATGGAAGGAACCTCTGTGCAAAAGTGAGCACAGCTGAAGTTTCTATTTATTTATTAAAAAAGAATTTTTTTAAAGATTTTATTTATTTATTCATGAAAGACATACATAGAGAATGAGAGAGATGGCAGCCCCGGTGGCTCAGCGGTTTAGTGCCACCTTCGGCCCAGGGCAGTTTCCTGGAGACCTGGGATCGAGTCCCAGGTTGGGCTCCCTGAATGGAGCCTGCTTCTCCCTCTGCCTGTGTCTCTGCCTTTCTCTCTATGTCTCTAGAATAAAAATAAATAAATAAATAAATAAATAAATAAATAAATAAATAAATAAATAAATAAATAAATAAATTAAAATAAATAAAATAAATAAAATAAATAAAATAAATAAAATAAAATAAAATAAAAAATAAAATAGAATCAGAGAGAGAGAGAGAGAGAGAGAGAGAGAGAGAGAGAGACAGGCAGTGACTGTCTATATACAAAGCAAGTGACTATGTATTTATTCTATTTTTATTTTATTTATTTTCTGAGACTTATGTTGATGCATGCAATTCTACATCATTCATTTTAACGGCTAAAAATTGTATTACTCACCTCCTAATACTGGCCACTTAGGTTGTTTGTTAACTTTTGCTGTGTCAATGCTACAGCAATCTTCCTTGCACCTATCTCCTCATATAGGCACTAGAGTGTCTCAGAGTATAAACCTAAAAAAGCAATTACTCAGTGCCCTTTCTTTTGAAAACCTCTTTTCCTATGGTGAACAGCCTTTATGACAGTATAAGTGTGCCCATAATTAAGAGGATAAACTGACTGGAGATAACTAACCTCAAGGCACTTTCTGTGTGGGGAAAAAAACCTAAATTGTGTACTAAGTTCTGTTTTAAGTCATCTCAGCAAACATAGTTAGCAAAAGCATTTGGAACAAAAAGCAGTACATTAATGATAAGTTACCTGTGCAATATTTTGAGAAGACATAATCGCCTGGTTATAGAATATACGGCCAAAGTGATCTCGATCTGGAAATGTATCTGCTTGAAAAGGTAAGTTTGCTCCTCCAGAATCAACTGAAGACAAGGGAAATGACAGAAGTAAGTACATCTGAGTGAACAAAATACCCTATAGAGAGACATGTGTCAATGACAACAGTTCTTAATCACATTCACCAAAAATATGCCCTACCATTCTAAACTATTACAGCATCTTTCTTCAGTTCTCCAACACAGCCAAAAACTTCTCTGTTTTCCCCAAATCTGTTAGGCTCTCCTCCCTGTGCAAAATTCCACTTGAAAGGTTTAGGACACTCTCTCCTTTGAGGGTGCAAGCCTCAGAAACACCATATATTCTTAACCAGTTCAGCTAAAAAAGTGACTTTCCCTCTTTTAAACCACTACAAAAATACCTACGGAATTCATGGGAAATTTTATCATATAACTGGCCATGGGACTGTTTTTACTGCAGAGCGGAGAGGGGGATAAGAGCATCTGCTAAATTTGGAACAGAGCATGATGACTTCATAGCTGTATGATTACTGGCATGTTTCCTAGCCATCCTATGCCTCGCTTTCCTCACCTGTAAAATGAAAGGGACAAAACTAGCTCTCCCAGGGAGCTGTTCCTGGGATGACATGAAATAATGTATGTAAAACACCTAGTTCAGCCCAGAGTGAGTGCACATAGCAATGCTACGAAAACTTAGCTAGTTCCAATGCCTACTACTCTTGCCTACGTCCACTAAGACCTTCATTGTTATTTAATACATGACATGCTGTCTCCAATTCATTCAAGCTTTTGCCCAAGACAGAGACAACATAATACCCTTCACTCCATCCCCTATGGAGTTTGGCCCAGCACCTGTAAGCAGTAGGGCCTCATTCGCTGTTTTCTATACGTACAAAAAGAATTCAAATTCACATTGTGAGTCAACCAGGTAAATACACTTTTGCAGAAAAAAAAAATCTCTACGTCAGGACCTGTTTAAATACCCACACAAATGAATAATATACATATGCTGGCATTTCATCAACCTAAACCAATATCCAGGCAGTATCAGTTTTAAACTGCCTTGCTTTTATGTTGTTTTTGAAATACTCTTAGACTTAAATGTATTTTTAATTTCAAATATAAATTTACTTTCATTAAAAATTTAATTTCTTGGGGATCCCTGGGTGGCGCAGCGGTTTGGCGCCTGCCTTTGGCCCAGGGCGCAATCCTGGAGACCCGGGATCGAGTCCCACATCGGGCTCCCGGTGCATGGAGCCTGCTTCTCCCTCTGCCTGTGTCTCTGCCCCCTCCTTCTCTGACTATCATAAATAAATTAATTAATTAATCAAAAAAAATTTAAAAAAAATTTAATTTCTTTAAACTGCATTTGCTGAAATTATTCAAGTATTTAACAAAGTACCTAGCACTCAAGAGATACATAAATATTAGCTATTACTTTTTCATAGTTTGAACTCCTTAAGGTTAAGACAAAAACAAAATACATGGAAGGAAAAAATCCACACACATGTAAAGAAAAAACTGGCATACATGAAAATACTGTCAGAGGTTATTCCTGTGATGTTATTATGGGTAGTTCTTATTTACTTTTTCTTCCAGAGTTTTTAGCAAAGAACAATTATTTCTTCTGTAATTATGGAATAAATCAACAGTTTTTAAAAATTATCTATTGCTGATATCATATATAACCTTCTAAACAGTATTGTATTTTACCAGCTAAAAATAGTTCATTTTATGACTATTGTGACTTGCCCAAGTAGATGCAGGGGAGCCTGTTTTGCATTGCAATTTCTTGCGCCCGTAAATGTTTCTTCACAGTCACTGGGTAATAGGTACCTCCTTTGATGGTGGCATCATTGGCAATAATCATGCATTCCACTCTGAAAGGTAGAATTTGATTAGGAAGAGAATATGAGAGACTTCTTCAAAGTTTACTTATTTTTTTAATACATTATCTTATTTTATTCAAATATCAGTCTGACCACACATGGTCCAAAACACTCAAATAATAAGCCATATAGAGATGTTAAAGATTGGTCTTCAAACATTACAGACAATGATGCCACACTTGCCTATGATATCGCCGACATAAAACCACATCCACACCTCGGTGGCCACCAAATCATTCAGCAGAGCTTCCCTGTGAACTGTTTGAAGCTACCAGTTTGAGCACTCTTGACTATTTTTTTCAAGCTGTAGCTTGAAATAGCTGTAGGGATCTCAGCAGGGGTTGGAAGAACCAGCTCAACCCTGGCATAGTGCCCAAATGTGGCCGATCGAGGCTTCAAGTAAGTGACAGCAGCGTTCACCAGTGTCAGAGCCTTCTGAGCGAGGTTACGGACGAACTGGGCCATGGTTCCAGGATGGAAGTTCCGTCACCCCAGACCTTTTTCAAAGTTTAAAGGCCAATTACATCTCATTACAAGATACCCCAATACAACATTCAACTTCTAGTACATTCCACCAATGACAATCATTAGCAATCTCATGATACAAAAACAAGCTTTAATCACAGTTCACACACTCACTTATGTAATATAAAATGATCACTATGAACAACTTTACAAACCCACACTTGATTTTTAAAAAGTCATCAGTCCTGGGGGCGCCTGAGTGGCTCTCTCAGTTAAGCATCTGCCTTTGACTCAAGTCAGGATCTTGGGGTCCTGGGATTGAGCCCTGGGTCACGTTTCCTGCTCATCAGGGAGTTTGTTTCTCCCTCTTTGCCCCTTCCCTTGCTTGTGTGCTTGCTCTCTCTCAAATAATCTCTAAAAAGTAAACAGTCATCAGTGCTGTATTAGCTGTGAAAAACTAACCACCTCAGCCACAGTTCATATAAAGGTTCTTTTACAGTAAGATAATGATACAAAAAAAAAAAAAAAAAAAATCCAAGTCTCAAGAGTGAGAAAATCCATCATAGTAAACCACTAAATTTCCTTGTAGGAAGATTATTTTGCAAAAATGAAAGTTGACACACCAAAGGAATTTATCTTTTTTACATTTTCAAAAGTTTTTCAATGCTACTACCACATGCTTTTCTAAAAGATGTTTAAAATACAGTATCTTGCTTAAAGTAACAATAAAAGCAAACTATAAGAAGAGTGTATTGAAAACATATACTATAATGCATCATCAATGGTACTTTCTCACTAAGACCAGTTGGTTGAGTGTTACACCCACAAACACCACATAAAGAGAATGGTGAACGCAGACCACCTGTAAGGGAAACTGCTTACCATTGCCAGGAAACGGGAAGGTCAGGGGGCTACCTGGAAACTTGGGTGAACAGTGTATTCTTTATAAAACTTAATCTTCTTTATGTTTACAATATTATTATTTTTTTTAAGATTTTATTTTTAAGCAATCTCTACACCCAACATGGGGCTTGAACTTACAACCCCGAGATCAAGAGTCGTATGCTCGACCAACTGAGCCAGCCAGGTACCCCTATTTATGGTTATTTTTAAAACTCTCACTTTATATTCTTTTTAATTGTAGAAATCAAGTCATTGAATTCCTGTTTGCAAAGAAAGTAGGGAAGAGTGGCTGAATAGTGGCCTGAGGTAGCATTGTGCTCCCCTCACAGGGTGTGTGGCCAATTAGAGCATCAATGTTAACCACTATAAAGCACATTATAGTTATATTATATATATATATATATATAGTTATAGTTATAGTTATAGTTATATTATATATAACTATATACAATATATAATATATATATTATATCCACATTATAGTTAATATTTTAAAGTGGAATGCCAATTCTTCATGACTTTAGTAAACAAACTAGACTTCAAAGGGAATTTAAGCTTACAGTGGTTGCTAAGGCTATCATCTCATACCCCCAGAGCGTATTCACGCTCTCCTGCCCCGGGGGTGGGGCCCTGCAAAAGCTTACCAAGCTCTGATACCAGAAAGGACCTATGGAGTCAGAAAAGCTATGGTGAAATTCTGGCTCTGCCACTTGCTAGACATGTGACCTTCCGTAAGAGACAGAGCCACTTGTCTATGAAAAGGTCACAGACATGTTACAGAGTGAAAAATAAAACGAGTCCACAAAAAGACCTGCACTGTACACCTACTGGTTCTACCTACCCAGGATCTACTACTTTGGTGACAGAACTAAACTTTCTTTTTTTTTTTTTTAAGATTTTATTTATTTATTCATGATAGACAGAGAGAGAGAGAGAGAGAGAGGCAGAGACACAGGCAGAGGCAGAAGCAGGCTCCATGCAGGGAGTGTGACATGGAACTCACACCCGGGCTGCCCCAGGACTAAACTTTCTTTCAGAAACTGCTTCTTACCTAATTCATGTGGACTGACCCCCAAAGCCTATCTTCAAAGGTATATCCAAGAACCAGGCCTTTCTACCCAGAGTCCACCCTGTGGTTCAGTAATGGGCTTGGACCCCAAATCTAACCCCGTATGAGCTCTCCTACTTCAGCTACTGATCCTCCGGAATAGAAATCAGGAATGCCTATGGCTAGCTCTGTCTCTGGGTTTAAAAAGCTTATCTAGGAATAAAACCAAAAACCAGTCTGTGACAACACTGTTTGAACTCCTAAGTTCCAGCGATACCCACACCTGTCAGTTAAGGGTCAATAAATTCCTCGTTTTCCTCAAACTAGTTTGAGCATCTACCATTTGCTAGAGAAAGAGTGGTGACGATACATACAAACACACTATTTATGTAAAAAAGATCCATTTAAACTATTATGAACTGCGACTTTACACCTAGTAAATAAGTGAACCTTTTTCAGTCATAATATCCAACACTACTAGCACAGCCCCTTTTCTAGGGAAAAGGGAAGTCTTTCCTTGGCCTGGGCCAAAATGGAGGGGAGTCTCGTGGGAAAAATGCATACACTCAATATGAAACTAAGATGGTTTATAAATAAATTCTATACAAGTTTTCTCATTAAATTTCTTGGGGTTGGGCAGCCCGGGTGGCTCAACGGTTTAGCACAGCCTTCGGACCAGGGCCTGATCCTGGAGACCTGGGATCGAGTCCCATGTCAGGCTCCCTGCATGGAGCCTGCTTCTCCCTCTGCCTGTGTCTCTGCCTCTCTCTCTCTCTCTTTCTCTCTCTCTGTCTCTCATGAATAAATAAATAAAATCTTTAAAAAAAATAAAAAATAAATAAAAAGACAAAAACATGTTAAAAAAATAAAAAATAAAAATAAATTTCTTGGGGTCTATTAAGAAATGATCATGGAGGGGATCCCTGGGTGGCTCAGCGGTTTAGTGCCTGCCTTTGGCCCAGGGTGTGATCCTGGGGTCCCAGGATCAAGTTCCACATCAGGCTCCCTGCATGGGGCCTGCTTCTCCCTCTGCCTGTGTCTCTGCCTCTCTCTCCTCTGTGTGTCTCTCATGAATAAATAAATAAAATCTTAAAAAAAAAAGAAAGAAAGAAAGAAATGATCATGGAGCCTGTATCAATATACCTAACACTACTGGAAAATATATAAAAAGAGCAATAAAGGTATAAAAGTTTTTAATGACTTTCCAAATAGCTTTGGCTCTAAGAAGTTTCCAGGCTGCAGGGAAGAAAGCTTCTATCTACTCTGTTATCCACAGCTGCCTGTCTACCCTCAGTGGCAAGAGTATCAACTGTATTTTAAATCTCTTAAAGGACAGAGGTGTTTCTCTTCGTTTCCTCATTTCTTCCTCTTGTTTCAGGACAACCCTCTAATGGTAGCTACTATGACTGTTTCATTTTATAACGAATCATATTTTCCTGATGGGAAAACCAAGGTAGTGAGTGGTCAAGGAATTTGCTAAAGGTGAATGAAACAGCTACAAAATGCTGAAGCCAGAATTCTAACTGAGGCTGATAACTCCTGAACTCATACGATTCCTAAGTGCAATTCAATTTCCTTCCAAACTGAGAACCTTATAAACTGAGAACAAGGCACCAAGAAAAAAAAAAATGAACATGAAAAACACAAAAAGCATCAATAATAATGAAATAGTAGTACATGCACAGGAAAAGTAGAAGGGCATGTTCCAACATGTTGACCATCATTATCACTGGAGAATATAATTCACAGTACCTACCCTACTTACTTAGTTATTTCATGATTATGAATTTAGTTTAGCGCTGCATTAAGTTTATTCTTTTTTTTTTAAAGATTTATTTATTTATTTATGATAGATATAGAGAGAGAAAGAGAGGCAGAGACACAGGAGGAGGGAGAAGCAGGCTCCATGCCGGGAGCCCGACGTGGGACTCGATCCCAGGACTCCAGGATCGCACCCTGGGCCAAAGGCAGGTGCCAAACAGCTGAGCCACCCAGGGATTCCCGAGTTTATTCTTTTTTTAAAGGTTTATTTGTAAGCATCCCCTAAGACTCTAAGAAAAAAAAGTCTTCACGCTGGGTGAATATTAAGCAAATCATAGCTTGCAAAGAGTTGTGGAGGAGTGCTGGGGATACAGGAAGGAAGAAGCTACAATGGCCAGTGGCTGTAGCTGTACCTCCCCCGAAGGCACCAATCATAGGAAGAAGGTGGAGGAACACACACCATAAACCAGCATCTGTGTCAAATATAACTTTAGCAGGCTCAGGATCCAACCACCTGAGGTCCAAGCTGAGCTCCACCAGTGGCTTGATCTCAGGTAAGTTATTTACCTTGCTAAGTCATTTACCAGGCTTCCTTACCTGCCTAATGGTGATGTTGACAATAATACCCATTCTCACAGAGCTGCGGTGATGGTTACAACTAACCAGTGGGAAGTGTTTATTACAATGCCTACTGTGCTATCCTGAGATGGTAAATGTCAGGCCGTACATAAATATACACAAGTAAATTTAACTTCTAGCAATCAAGATTTCCTAAGTCTACAGTGGTTCTCAAATGTTAGCATTCGAGAAGCTTGGAGGGCTTATTAAAAGCACTGATTGCTTGGTTCCACCCTCAAAATTTAGTTTAGTTACTTCTTTTTTTTTTGTTTTTTAAGATTTTATTTATTCATGAGAGAGAGAGAGAGAGAGAGAGAGAGAGAGAGAGAGAGAGAGGCAGAGACAGGCAGAGGGAGAGGCAGGCTCCATGTAGGGAGCCAGATGTGGGACTCAATCCCAGGACTCTAGGATCACAACCTGGGCCAAAGGCAGCACTAAATCGCTGAGCCCCCCGGGCTGCCCTAGTTACTTCTTTTTAAGTAGGCTCCATTCTCAGCATGGAGCCCAATGAGGGGCTTGAACTCACAACCCTGAGATCGAGACCAGACCTAAGATCAAGACTTGGGCACTTAACCAACTGTGCCACTTACATGCCCCTAATTTGGTAACTTAATGAGAAGACCTAGTAATCTATGCTTTTTTTTTCCCCCCCAAAGATTTTATGTATTTATTCATGAGAGACACACAGAGAGAAGGGCAGAGAAACAGGCAGAGGGAGAAGCAGGCTCCATGCAGGGAGCCCGACTTGGGACTCAATCCCGGGTCTCCACAGGATCACGCCCTGGGCTGAAGGCGGCGCTAAACTGCTGAGCCACCCAGGCTGCCCATAATCTATATTTCTAACAAGTTCTAAGGTGATGCCAATGCTACCTGGGGAGCCACACTTGAAGAACAACTTCTCTATGACACTGGTTTTTCACCCTAGATGTGCAAGAGATCCTTGGAAAATGATAGAAGCCAAGCCCACACCTGAAGATTCTAATTAAGGAAGAAGGCTGGGATTCAAGACCCAGGACCTGTGCTGGGTTTTCTTTCCCTCCTTCAATCTTTGTCTCTAAAGCTCCACAGGTCAATCTAATACACGTCAGGGTAGAAAGCCTTAGTCCCACATAATACAAACAGCAGAAAACTTGCACATTCATACACAAAGCCGTGACGTGCATAATCGAGTTGAAGTAGAATACTCACCCTGATACTCTCCCAATGCCTGTAATAATGCTACCAGCAGGGACCTCCTCATTAACATATAACTTGTAACCTGCAAACTGAGATAATTCCAGAAACGGAGACCTGAAGGGAAAAAAGGATATCGCTTGAATTACAGTCATTAAAAAAAAAAAGCATATTTAAACAGTTATACATGGAAAAGAGTAATGAGCCAATGTTTCAAGCATGCATGCTGTACACATACAAAATCTACAAAAAAAAAAAAAAGAATATTTACCCCAAATCTAGTGTGAATATTTTGAGGATTTACATGTTATAGCCATACAACAGAACACGAGGTACCTACTTTTAAAAGATGTTGTACAAATGTGTTTATTAGTAGGGAAAGAGACCAGCACCTAACACTCACGGAAGCTCCTACCCCACGCCAGGCTCTCTTTTAGGAGCTCCAGAAACCTGACGCATCTGTTCCTCAGAACCACCGCCTGTGGTGGAGCCTATCATGATCCCCAATGATGCATGAGGAAACTAGAGCACAGAAATTAAGTCACTTGTCTAAAGTCACACAACTAGTAAGTGGCAAAGCTGGGTTTTAATAAGCAATTTAACCCCAAAGACCAGGCTCTTTGTCAATTTATTACTCTACCTTTCACTTACTTAAATGTCCAAGATCCAGCAAGTAGGAGGAAAAAGGTGTTATAAAATATCACATTTAGTATGATTGTTTCTCTAGTTAAAAAAAAAAAAAGTATCTAAAAAAAAGGGGTACCTGGGTGGCTCAGTCAGTTAAGCAACCAACTGCTGGCTTCAACTCAGTTCTGGCTCAGGTCATGATCTCAGGGTCATGAGACTGGCCCCACAGCAGGCTCCCTGCTCAGTAGGGAGTCCACCTCCACCCGCCCTGCTCATGCTGTCTCGCAAATAAATAAATCTTTTTAAAAAATGTGTCTAACACCTATACACATAAGAATATTCTAGAAGGATATAAACCTCGTGTTAACAGTGCCCGTCTCCAGGTTGGGAGTACGGGTACATGTCGTAAGAAATTCTTTTGGGGTCCTCATTCCCTTTTCTCCACCTGTACTCTCCACCTCCCACTCCAATCCTTCAGGTAATCCGTTGGGTTAGCTCTGTCTTGACAACATGTCTAGTCCCTAACATTCTCATCACTTCCACTACTATGACCCTCATCCAAGTCACCACTGTATCTCCTTTAACTCACTGCCACAGTGCTCTCTAAACTCATCTTGGTGCTTCCACCCCTGCTGCCCACAGTATTCTCCCAAAATAGCAGCTACAATAACTCTTTTCAAATTCATGTCAGATAGATCATAAGTCTCCTGTTCAAAACCCCACAGAGTCTCCTCACTTCTCCCAGATAAAAGCTGAAATTTTACACTGACCTACAAGATCTTACAGAATTGAACCCATCTCTACTACTTTCCCCTTTGTGCCTTCAACCCCTAACCCACTGGCACCCAGGGTTCTTGAGTCTATCAACATACCCCACACAGTCCCACCTCCCGGCCTTGCACTGGCCATTCCTTCTGTCTGTAACACCCTTACACCAGTATTTTCAGGGCTCTCTCTCTCATTACTCCTTCAAATCGTTACTCAGATGTCATCTGCTCAATGAGGCCTATACCCTCACCATCTTACTTAAAACTACCACTTGACCTTCATCTTTCCCTTACTCTGTTCTTGCTTTTTCCCCATGACATTTATCACCTACTATACTATGTAACTTACCACAATAATCACTTATTTTCCATCCCCTCGTGCTACAATGTAAACTGCATCTAGGCAAGAACCTTTGTCCGTTTTGTTTACTGACCTATCACTAGCACCTAGCACAGTGCCTGACACTTAGTAGCCTCTCAATAAACATTTACTGTCAAATCTTATGGAAAGAACCAGAATTTAAAATCATTTATTTATAAAACTGTCTAAGCAAGTACCACAGACGAGAGAACACGGAGTTAAGCACTCGGGGTTTACCAACCCAGGGTCTATGAGATTGTCCACTCTATCTCTGGCTAAAAGTTTTCCTCTTGATATGTGGCGTTCTCGGGCTTTCTGGCTGCCTCCTATGATAAAAAACATGATTCGATTAGATTGACATCATGTAAGGTCTCCAATTAATTTAAGGCCAGAAAAACATAAAACAGTACCAAATAGAGCACGATTTTAAAACTTCAAAGTGTCTTTTGAGAAATGGCTAATTTTCAGATCCACTCAACTTACAAGCTTTATTTTCTGATGTACACAAATGGGAATTTAAAAAAATAAAACAAAACAGAAAACAAAAATAAATAAATAAATAAATAAATAAATAAATAAATAAATAAATAAATAAATAAAACAACTGATCTCTGATTTCATACATTTTCTGAATTCATTGGAAATTAAACAACATAATATTTAAGTAGTAACATAAATAAGTAAATAAATAACAATAAGTAATAGCACAGATTACCTAAATACCATACTATCTTCTCTACAACTCCTAAGTTGTAAACACATTGTAAATACCTCCTCACCTCGTGGTTATTTATTAAGTACCTATCACAAATACCTAGCCTCTGCTACATACTACAAAATTTGAAAAATTCCAACCTTCATGTATAACAGGCAAAAAGCACTATTTTAGAAATGACCTCCACGACAAGCACCGCAGGACTTGCCTAAAGGCACGCAGCCCACGTTTCACACTGTCTCCAAATGGGAGACAGTTGCACACCTAATACATCAACTAAAATTTAGTCCACTTGTGTTAGCATCTTCACTCAGATGGTCTTCGGTGTTTCCTGCTGTTGTTCTAGACCAAGGACATGAGGGCAGGTGAGGAGCCCACCGGGGTAACCAGGGAGGCTGCCTGGGTGCACAGCACACCAAAGCCCACCCGGCCACAAGGACGGCCGCTGGCTCACTGGCTCAGGAATATGGACAGCTCGCTCTCAGCAAGCCAAGGGGTAAGACCAGAAGCAGAAGGATCATACAGTCCCTCAGTATGTGCAGTTTCACTGCTGCCTACGAATTTTATCTTAATGTGCTCTCGTGCTAATGAAGTGTTTGGCTATTTAAGAAAGCTACTTCTTTGGGGTTCTTTTTTTTTTAGGAAAGAAAACGAGTTCTTGTCTTTTTCAAAACAAGCTCCCAAGTATTACCTTGCTTTTCTTTTTTTTCTTTTTTTCTTTTTTTATTTATTTTTTTTTTTTAAAGATTTTATTTATTTATTCATGATAGTCACACAGAGAGAGACAAAGAGGCAGAGACACAGGCAGAGGGAGAAGCAGGCTCCATGCACCGGGAGCCCGACGTGGGATTCGATCCCGGGTCTCCAGGATCGCGCCCCGGGCCAAAGGCAGGCGCCAAACCGCTGCGCCACCCAGGGATCCCTTACCTTGCTTTTCAAACCAGGCTTCGTTACTCTATCCAGGGGATCTTTTTTTTTTTTTTTTTTTCTGAAGAGAAAGATGGCATATTTCTAAGACTGTATCTGCCTTAAGCTTACCAAGAAAATTCTATCACACATCTCACCTTCTTTTAAAATGAAAATAACTCTGGGAGGCAAAGCTTTACTTCCAAAAGAGTGTAATGAGGTCAAATCACAATACTGTTTAAGGGGCACCTGGGTGGCTCAGTGGTTGAGCATCTGCCTTTGGCTCAGGGAGTGATCCCGGAGTCCCAGGATCAAGTCTTCCATCGGGCTCCCCATGAGCAGGGAGCCTGCTTCTCCCTCTGCCTGTGTCTCTCTCTGTGTCTCTCATGAATAAATAAATAAAATCTTTAAAAAAATAATAATATTTAAAGAAAAAATGAACCTAAGGCACTGAAAGGAAAGCCAGGCCTTGGTGCGGGTTTTTGGGGAGTTGGGTGACATAAATGCCTACAAAGAGGACAGGAGGGGAGGGGTGGCCAGAGAGGGTGGCATATCACCGAGGTGATAAGATACACACACATTCTTTCGCAACAACTTAAGACAATATCACTTTTCCTTAATTCTGCCTAGAGTTCCAATTTGCAATTTGGAATAGCTAGTGAATTCCAGTTTTGTTAGGAAAAATCAAAAAGAGGGTCATCCTTGATACAGATTCTCAGATCATAGAATTAAGCTCCTTCCTCTGACTTTTAAACTAGCCTAGGGTATTTGGGCAGCCACGATAATAGTGTGACACAGCACATTCGTTTTCCAAAGATTCTTCTTTTTTTTAATTTTTTATTTATGATAGTCACACAGAGAGAGAGAGAGAGAGAGAGGCAGAGACACAGGCAGAGGGAGAAGCAGGCTCCATGCACTGGGAGCCCGACGTGGGATTCGATCCCAGGTCTCCAGGATCACGCCCTGGGCCAAAGGCAGGCGCTAAACCACTGCGCCACCCAGGGATCCCCCAAAGATTCTTCTTAAAGACCCTACACCGTCCCTATTCCCAGACTTGGAGATAGGAGGAAAACCAGTTTCCTTCAATCTCCTACAGCATATTATACTGATTCTAATACATACATTTTGTTCACATTTTAACATCCCTGAAATCAGGAAGCATTTTGGAGTTTACGGGATGGGATCTTTTCATTGCTGTTACCAGGGGACAGTCACAACACATCTGCCTGCCTCTGGCAGCACAGCACAAACGTCACTTCAACTGTGCTACACGCATTGTTAGAACTACATGCACAGAGTTAACTTCCATTTTAAAATGTCTTTGGGGGTGCCTGGGTGGCTCAGGGTGCTGGGGTCGAGCCCTGAGTTAGGCTCCTTGCTCAGCGGGGTGTCTACTTGCCCCCTCCCTCTGTTCTTCCCTCCACTCATGCTCCCACTCTAATAAATAAATAAAATCTTTGAAAAAATTAAATTAAATATCTTCAAAAACTACACAAGCAGGCAGTCCAGGTGGCTCAGCGTTTTAGCGCTGCCTTCAGCCCAGGGCATGATCCTAGAGAACCGGGATCGGGTCCCGCATCGGGCTCCCTGCATGGAGCCTGCTTCTCCCTCTGCCTGTGCCTGTGCCTCTGCCCCCCTCTCTCTGTCTTTCATGATTAAATAAATAAAATCTTAAAAAAAAAAAAAAAAAAAAAACTACACAAGCCTTATCTTTAGGGCATTAAAAGACCCTGTTTCAATCACCAAAACTATTTGTGTTTTTCTATATTGATAAAGTAATTATCACCCAGCTTTATAAGAACTAGGCACTTCTGAATCTTTCATAATAGCCCTTTGATTACCTTCTGTTAATCAATGTATTCAGTCTGGATATCATTGAAATACACAGTAAAAGGCGTAATCTTTTGTCCACCCACACAAATGTCCACCCACACTCCTCCTGTAACTCTACTTTCTCATACAGGAACAAAAAGGGAGATGAAAGTTTCCTGAGAAGAAATGTGAAAATCTAAACTGCTATAGTAAAAATGACAGAGATCAAGATATTCCAAATGGGTTTCCTCTCGGATCTTTTTTCTTTTTCTTTTTTTTAAGATTTTATTTATTTATTCATGAGGGACACAGAATGAGGCAGAGACACAGGCAGAGGGAGAAGCAGGCTCCCTGTGGAGAGCCCCATGTGGGACTCCATCCCACAACTGCAGGTTCACGACCTGAGCCTAAGGCAGATGCTCAACCACTGAGCCACCCGGGTGTCCACTCTTGGATCTTTTCAATTAATTTTGATTAATATACTACATCAAAAGAAGACAAAATTGTGTGTTTGGAGTAATGTCTATAATTGATACATTCACTCCTAAATCTCAAGTTACAAATAAACTACTTAAAATATACAGGAAAGATTAAATAAGTGGATCAAAGTTGCTTTATTATTAGAGCAACAAACGAGTCTAGCTCACTCTCAAACTCTACAAAGGACCAAAATACTGATCTTATTTCTTCCCCAATAAACTACACAAATGGATAGACAACTTTATGTAGATGGGCTCTCTGTCCATCTGCCATTAAATAATTACCTTGCCTCCACTCTCAAAATCCTCACAGAAAGGGGGATCCCTGGATGGCTTTAGCACCTGCCTTTGGCCCAGGGCATGATCCTGGAGTCCTGGGATCGAGTCCTGTGTCGGGCTCTCTGCGTGGAGCCTGCTTCTCCCTCTGCCTGTGTCTCTGCCCCTCTCTCCCTCTCTCTGTGTATCTCATGAATAAATAAATAAAAAATCATAAAAAAAATCCTCTCAGAAAGAAATGATATAAATAACATTTTTATTTAAGCTAAAAAGAAACTCAAGATTTCTCTAAATTAATTCCCTAATGACTGGTCCTGGAAGTGTATCCTCTAAATGTGATAAGATCATACCTAAGAAGGCAACAGTACTATTAAATCACAGGTTTACATATAAAACAGATGCCATCTCTGAGAGCATTGGGAAGAACTATTTTACTCTTTTTTCTCACTTACTCATTTATTTATTTTGCACTCATTGAGAACTAAAAGGGCAATCCAGGAGCAATCAAGGCAAAATTATTTTCCTTGTGGGCATGTTATCACTAAGGGGAGGCTGGCAAAAAAGAAATAGGCAGTATATAGTATATAGTATTAGGTGGTGATAAATGTGTTGAAGAAAAATAAAGCATAAGAAAGAGAATGAGGCATGAGGAGGTAAGCATCATCAAGAAGGGTCTGTGGGGAGGTGACTTATTTTTCCTTTTTTTCATGTTTCATTTTTTAAATTTAAATGCAACTAATTAACATATAATGTATCACTGGTTTCAGAGATAGACGTCAGAGATTCATCAGTCTCATGTAACACCCAGTACTCATTAAAATACATGCTCTCCTTAATGTCCATCACCCAGTTACCCCATCCTCCCACCCTAGAGCTCTTTTTAAATGAAGGCTATAAAATTCATACAGCTCTTCCTTATTACTTATATTAAGAAACTTATTTTGGAAATAGCTTTCAGTTTCAAGTCACCTAGGCTTTTTTTTTTTTTAAGATTTATTTATTTATTCATGAGAAACACACAGAGAGAGAGAGAGAGAGAGAGAGAGAGAGAGAGGCAGAGACACTCTGCCGCCTTCAGCCCAGGGCGTGATCCCGGAGTCCCCAGGATCAAGTCTCACATCGGGCTCCCTGCACGGAGCCTGCTTCTCCCTCTGCCTGTGTCTCTGCCTATCTCTCTGTGTCTCTCATGAATAAACAAATAAAATCTTTTTTAAAAAATGTAAAACACATAAAATAAAATGATAACTAAAAAAACAGAAAATGACACTGCAAAGTTCTTATCTCATTAGCGATAAACCCATATAGGAATTATTTCCAAGTTATATAACAAAGCAAAAAATGCATAATCATACAAAATTAGTATATAGGATGAATAAAAACAACGAACAGAAAATATTTCCAGTGCTTCAGGAGAAACAAAAATTTCGATGGATGCTGTCACTGAAAGAAAACTGCAAGAAGCAATACTTTAAAAAGTGATGGACCTGATATTTTACTGTTCCCCAGATAGTGGCAATGCTATAGGGGCAGAAAAATTGGCCAAGTAAGAGGAAAAAATAAAATGGCAACATTCCAGAGTCAAAGCCTGCTGCTACTAGTTTTTCCTAAAACCAGTAACTATCAAGGAGCATCTTCATTAAAGCATAAAATGAAGAATAACTGAGTGCTTACCTAATCTTATTTTCTCTGCTCGTTCATGGAGTTGATTTACTAGTGCTTTCATCTGTTCATAGTTCTCCTAAAACAGAAACAAAGACAGAAAGGGAGAGTAATATTAGAAAACGATTATCTTTTCTTTTTCAGTCATAGTAAGAGTTGATGAGAACATCATGTGCCAACTCCATGTGGCTTCACATGGGGCCACCTGCCACCCATGTGGCCTCCATCGTGTGTCACTCCAGCGGATGGGAAAGAGGCATTCTCGCCTCTCCATTTCTGCCCAAGCTCCTCTTCACCACTACCTTCCCTCTCTGGTCCACGAATCCAAATCTTACCCTCTTTGAATCAGACACCATGTTCCCTCTCATCTCTAACCCCATTTCTGGTCACTCCTATTCATTTTAGCATCTTTTTTCCGTAAGCATCAAGTGAACTTAATTGATTTGTTTCCCTATTTTAAGGAACATAAGCCCTTTGAGAGTTAGAATGCCATCTTACCTTTTGTGTCCCATCAATCACTGCCCTGAGGGAGTTTCTAACCAATGCACAAACACTGACAAATTATACTTAAAAAACAGAGCCCAAAGAAAACAACAGATCCTATTTTGTTTTAAAAGGAACAAGATTCTATGTTTGCATGTCTTGAAAAATTTTCTAGGGGATCCCTGGGTGGCTCAGTGGTTTAGCGCCTGCCTTTGGCCCAGGACGTGATCCTGGAGACCTGGGATCAAGTCCCCCATCAGGCTCCCTACATGAAGCCTGCTTCTCCCTCTGCCTCTCACTCTCTCTCTCGTGAATAAATAAAATCTTTTAAAAAATAATAAAAATAAAAATTTTCTAGAGTAATATACAGGAAAATATAAACTGTGAGAGGTGGAAAAAGGGTAGAGGGCCTAACACATCACCGTTCTGTCAATTTTGTTTGATCAGCTCATTCTTTTAAAACAAGTAGCTAGTTATTTTTGAATATTCAGAGTTTAATCCACTAACACATTTTGCTTTCCACCATGTCTTTCACATCTCTGGTGGTTTAATTCCTTTTACATGATGTGATACTAAGCAGCCTTCCAGCTGTTCAAAATAAAATTTTTTTAAAAGATTTTATTTACTTATTTATGAGAGACACAGAAAGGCAGAGGCACAGGCAGAGGCACAGGCAGGCTCCCTACGGGGAACTAGATGTGGGACTCAATCCCAGGACCCCAGGATCATGACCTGAGCCAAAGGCAGACGCTCAACCGCTGACCCAATCAGGTGTCCCCCAGCTGTTCAAAATTAGATGAATTTACAGTCTGCATAGTAGAGCTCTATTATTTATTTCCTACAGCTCTAAGAGCTCCCAAGGTCAAAGTTTATGCTACATTCTCTTGCGCTGCAAAATCCAGAAAACAAAAGAGAGAAGCAGCATATTGTGAGGGAAAGAATCTTTGCCCTTAAGTAGGGAAGTCCCAACCCCTAAACAATCCCTGTCTACTGGGGATCCCTGGGTGGCTCAGCGGTTTAGCGCCTGCCTTTAGCCCAGGCCGTGATCCTGGAGTCCCGGGATAGAGTCCCACATTAGGCTCCCGGCGTGGAGCCTGCTTCTCCCTCCTTCTGTTTCTCTGCCTCTCTCTCTCTCTCATAAATAAATAAATCTTAAAAAAAAAAAAAAAAATCCCTGTCTACTCACCCTGTGATCACTTCTCTTCCAGGCCCAAGCCCTGTCTGAGGGCAGATAGCCTGCCAGGAGCAAACTCCAGAATCTGCCTAGAACATTGTTTCCCAACCTTGTCTGGACACTGGAATCACTGGGAAGCTTCGAAAAATATAAATAAACCCTCAGAGATTCTGATGTCATCATTCACACATGCGGCCTGGGCATTAGGCACTTTAAAATTTCCCTGAGAGGGACGCCTGGGTGGCTCAGTGGTTGACCGTCTGCCTTCAGCTCAGGTCATGATCCTGGGGTCCCAGGATCAAGTCCCACATCAGGCTCCCTGCAGGGAGCCTGCTTCTCCCTCTGCCTGTGTCTCTGCCTCTCTCTGTGTCTTTCATGAATAAATACACAAAATCTTTTTAAAAATAAAAATAAAATAAAAGTTCCCCAAGGATTCAAATGGCCAACCAAAAATAGAGAAACACTGGCCCATAGTCTCCATTTCTAAGTTCGACTCAAGGCAAACTGGAAACCCACCCCAAAAGGGGGTTTGGTAATAGGCCAAGAGTTCTTTCATCACCAGAACCTCTTCAGATTACCATAGTGTTTGCTGATATGAATAGCATGAAGCAGTGGAAGCCAAGAGCTTTGCTCTCCTATTGAGCCCACGATACAGATCCTTTTCATTCACATTTGGCAAATTCAGAAACCCCTAGCTTTATGAATCGCCTTAGAAAGAAACAAAGCTCTTGCACCAAAGCATGTCTGTTCAGCCTGTCACCATGAGGTGGCATTAGAGCAACACGTACAGTGCCACTTCACGCGTACGAAGAGACTTAAACAGCCTAACATCTCAAGCCTAAAGGGAGCCACCTTTGTATGGAGAGCCTCCTGGGTTGAGAACTAGTCCTAGTAAGCGGGGGCTGGGTCCTGAACTCCTCTGTCATCTGCGAGACCCAGCAGAAAACGTTTAAAATGAAGGGGCTCCTTATATAAACAAAACCAAGGGGCAGAGAAGAGCTCTGGGACAGAATCAGGGGGCAGCTCCTACCTGGAGCCAAAGGGCATCTTCTCTGTGGGGCTCTCTCAGCTGACCCTGAGCTGCCACTGCCACCCTGGGGCTCACAGACGGGTACTACTCTGGCCTCAGGCCCTGGCCTCCATCTACCTGCTGCTCAGCACACAGGGTGAGGAAAAGATCTCACCACCATGTTGCCAAATAGAAAGGGAAGCAGATCACTCCACTGCCCAGGGAAAGTCATTTTTTGCTTATTTTCTGCTTAAAGTCCATCTTGTCAACTTCTACCTTTATTCTAAGGTTAAAAATCCACCTCGTAGGTGGCTGTTTCAGAAACCTTCTTTTTGGGGATCCCTGGGTGGCGCAGCGGTTTAGCGCCTGCCTTTGGCCCAGGGCGTGGTCCTGGAGACCCGGGATCGAGTCCCACATCGGGCTCCCGGTGCATGGAGCCTGCTTCTCCCTCTGCCTGTGTCTCTGCCTCTCTCTCTCTCTCTCTGTGACTATCATAAATAACTAAAAAAAAAATTTTTTTTTTTTTAAAAAGAAACCTTCTTTTTTTAAAGTATGCTCTCAGCCTAAAATGGGGCTTGAACTCATAACCCCTGGGGTCAAGAGTTGCATGCTGTACTGACTAGGCCAGCCAGGCGCCCGCCCCTCAGGAACCCTGATCTTAAGAATCCCCACAGATGGTGAAGCACCTTCATCAGGGAGGCAGCCTTCCCAAATGCTCCATTGTTTGGAATTCTTTCTCTGCCACTCTCAGCTCAGTAATTTCTTCAATTCACAGACTGATTCTGTGATTTTTTTTTAAGATTTTATTTATTTATTCATAAAGACACACACACACAGAGAGAGAGAGAGAGAGAGAGAGAGAGAGAGAGGCAGAGACATAGGAGGAGGGAGAAGCAGGCTCCACGCCGGGAGCCCAATGTGGGACTCGATCCCGGGCCTCCAGGATCGCGCCCTGGGCCAAAGGCAGGCGCTAAACCGCTGAGCCACCCAGGGATCCCCTATTTTGTTTTGTTTTTTAAAGATTTTATTTATTTATTCATGAGAGAGACACAGAGAGGCAGAGACACAGGCAGAGGAGAAGCAGGCTCCATGCTGGGAGCCCAATGTGGGACTCGATCCTGGGACCGTGGAATCATGCCCTGAGCCGAAGGCAGACGCTCAACCGCTGAGCCAGCCAGGCGTCCCTGTTTTGTTTCTTAAATGGAGAGAGAGAATCTTTTTTTTTTTTAAAGAGAGCTTTTTTTTTTATTTATTTATTCATGAGAGACCTAGAGCGAGAGAGGCAGAGACACAGGCAGAGGGAGAAGCAGGCTCCTCGCAGGGAGCCCAACGTTGGACTTGATCCCAGGACTCCAGGATCACAACCTGGGCTGAGGTGGCACTAAACCGCTGGGCCACCTGGGCTGCCCCAGAGAGAGAGAGAATCTTAATTAATCTGTGCCCAGTGTGGAGCCTGATGTGGGGCTTGATCTTAAGACCTAGTGATCATGACCTGGACAGAAATCAAGAGTTGGATGCTTAACTGAGTGAGCCACCCAGGCGCCCCATTAAGTTCCTCCATTGAACTTGGAGTCACATATTGAACAATATACATGGCCTGCCTTTTCATGCAATGTATTTATCGGATTATTTTTTAATCCAACCACTAGCAGGTAAAGAGATACAAGGTTAACAGTTTGGATGAGATTCATTTCCACAAATGCCTTAAGCTCACAATGAGCAAGTCTTTTGTTAAAAATCACAGAATCAGGGATCCCTGGGTGGCTCAGTGGTTTGGTGCCTGCCTTTGACCCAGGGCATGATCCTGGAGGCTCGGGATGGAGTCCCACGTTGGGCTCCCGGCATGGAGCCTGCTTCTCCCTCCTCCTGCCTCTCTCTCTCTCTATGTCTATAATTAATTAATTAATTAATTAATATCTTAAAAAAAAACAAAACAAAATAAAACAGATGAACATAGGGGGAAGGGAGGGAAAAATAAAACAAGACGAGACGGAGATAAACCGTAAGAGACTCTTAAGTCTAGGGAACAAACAGGGTTGCTGGAGGGAAGGTTGGGTGGGGGGGTGATGGGTTAAGTGGGTGATGGGCATTAAGGGGGGGCATGTGATGTGATGAGCATTGGGTGTTCTATGCAACTGATGAATCACTGACCTCTACCTCTGAAATGAATAATACATATGTTAATTTATTTTAAACTTAAAAAATAAAAACAAATTTTTAAAATAAAGATTGTCTCCCTCTGCCCCCCCAACAAATAAATAAATAAATAAATGGAATTTAATGCGAATGGAAAAAAAATCTGAATACCTGTTATCTCAACAAGGTATGTGAAAGGGTAACACATTTACCTAGGAATAATCCTACTCTGTTAGTTTAAAATTGCTAAAATGAAGAAAAAAAAGGTTTTTTCCAGTGACATATGGGGCTAATTCTCGAGCTAGTCCATCCAGTCATTATGACATTCTATCGTCTGCTCAGCCCTGCTTAGCCCAACACACTAGGAAACAAAGACAGGTTACAGCATGGCAAAGCAAAGACGCAGGAGTTTCGCTAACATATTCCGCTCCTCTTAAATGGAGTTCTTAACTGTTAATGGAAAAACGCTGGGATGCCTGGGTTTACAAATAAATAAATAGGGACGCCTGGGTGGCTCAGTGGTGAAGCGTCTGCCTTCGGCTCAGGGCATGATCCCAGGGTCCTGGGATTGAGTCTCACATCAGGCTCCCCACAGGGACCCTGCTTCCCCCTCTGCCTGTGTCTCTACCTCTCTCTCATGAATAAATAAAATCTTTGAAAATAAGTAAATGAAATATATTTTTTTAAAGTTAACTTTCTTCCATGGAAATTTTCAAACATATACAAAAACAAAAAGACTAGCATGGAATGCAGCCAATGTTATTCAACAATTACCCATATAAGGCCGAAGTTGTTTTTCTTGCCCCCCACCCCTAATCATTCATTCATTCATTCATTCATTCATTCATTCATTTAGAGTGAGCGAGGGAGAGAGAGAGAGAGCACAAGTGGGGCGGGGGGAGCAAAGTGAGAGGGGCAAGCAGACTGCCCACTGAGCAGAGAGCCTGATCCAGCAGGCGAGACTCCATCCCAGGATCCCCTGACCCGGGCTGAAGCCAGATGCCCAACCCACTGAGCCCCCAGGCACCCCACTCTGAATTATTCTTAAGAAAATCCTAGACATAGCACTCCATCCGTAGTCAGGGTTTCCAAATCTCCAAAAGATGAGGGCCATTTTTGAATATCAATAATCTGCTAATAACATCAAATATCCATTAGTGAAGACATTTCCTCAACTGGCAGATGGATGTTTTTTTAGTTTGCTTATTTGAATAGGATTCTATGGAAGTTCCATATACCCACAGGTGGATGTTTCTTAAGTCTTTTCTGAAATGTAAGTTCTCCCATCTTTTTTGGTCTTGATAGGTTCTGTGTGTCCCATAGGTTTCTCCCACGATGCTAAGTGTGTCCTCTCAGTGTCCTTTAACCAGTCCTCCTTCCCTTGCTGATGGAGAGGCTGATGGGATTCTGCTGTGCCTTTAGCTTCTTTTGTCGTCATCATCATCCACCTCCCCACCCCCATCATCAAGAAGTAGCTGAGCTCCTCCACCCGCACTGTTACCTCGCAGTCTCCCATCAACTTTGTAAAACACAGGCACCAGAGTTCTAGAAGTGATGAAAAGGGGTTCCCATAGGCACAAAGGAAACGAGTAATGCTCTACTAAAGTGTACTCACACCCAAGACATCACCACTACAGCCTAGGACATTGCCCAATCTAGAACAAAGTCAATCGAAATTACAGCTAGTTACACAAGAGATCTTTACCCTAGCTAAGCCAGCCTCCCAGTCAAGAAATAAAGGAAACTGTCACTAATTGCCAAGGCTGTCTAAGGCCCACGGCCATGAGAAGTGACAGTGGACAGGACAGATTCCTAGCCCCTGAGAAAACCGGGACACCCAGGCATCCCCATCTCTTAACCCGTCATCTCCAAATCCCTAGGTCCTCTCCTCCCTCTCCTCCCCAGCCCTGAACACGCCCAGCTGGAAAAGTAACATATCCTGCCCTCCTTCCATAGACATGTGTGGCCATGTGATTTAATTCTAACCAGTGAAGGGACGCCTGGGTGGCTCAGTGGTTGAGCGTCTACCTTGGGCTCAGGGCATGATCCGGGGGTTCCGGGATCAAGTCTTGCATCGGGGTCCCTGCAGGGAGCCTGCTTCTCCCTCTCCCTGTGTCTCTGCCTCTGTCTCTCTCCATGAATAAATAAATAAAATCTTAAAAAAAAAAATTCTAACTGGTGAAATGGAGGCAGTTGTTGTTAGGCGTGACTTCTAGAAAGGCTTCTTAAAAAAGAGAACAAGCAGGTGAAGGTGTCCTTTTGCCTACTCACCTTCTTCCTCCTTTATCTGAACTCTTACCTAATAGGTGGAGCTTAAGCAGCCACCTCGAGGGCATGAGGCCGAATGTACTTCTTGTTCAAATTTCTTCTATCCCTCCCCTCCCTGCTAAGGTTTAATGTGAGATTATACTTCCCCACCCCCCAGTCTATAAATCTGTCCATTGTACTCGCTTTGACCAGTGGAATGTGGGCAAAAGTGACTGTGCTAACTGCAAGCGGAGGCTCTGAGAGGGACAGTGTTTCCATACTGTCCTCAGACTTCCATAACGAGAGGAGCATCCCTCAGTAGCCACTGTCCCTTCAGTCTGGGATCTGGAATAAAAAACAAATAGAGCAGACCTGAATCTGATGCACTGCCTACAGAGAACTGCCACAGCCAACCTACAGATGGCATGGCAAAAAGGAAATATTTGTTGTTTCGGACACAGAGATCTTGGGGCCGTCTCTTGCTGAAGCAAAGGCCGGCTAAACAGATCCTTAGATGACAATGTGGAGAGAAGGAAAAGTTATTTCCCTCCAGGTTTTTTCTTTCCTCTGTGGAAATACGTTGGTAGTTTTTAACAAGCATGAAATACTAGACCAATGCCTTTTCTTTTTTTTCTTTAAAGATTTTATTTACTTATTCATGAGAGACACAGGGAGAGAGAGAGGCAGAGACACAGACAGAGGGAGAAGCAGGCTCCCTGCAGGGAGCCCGACGTGGGACTCGACTGGGTCCCCAGGATCAGGTTCTGGGCCAAGGGCAGCGCTAAACCCCTGAGCCACGCGGGCTGCCCACCAATGCCTTTCCATCCGACCACAACTACTTCCCTCCTCCAACTGCAAGGGCACAGAATGGATCAGAACATTATTTGACACAGAGAAAGAAGTTCTACACTCAGGCCCACACTCCCTAATCCCTAGTTAACAACCATCATCAAAAACATAGGCCCTAACCTGAAGCCAAAAGAAATGGCAGACTGTGAAGCTCCAGAGCCTCAAGCTCCAGGCCCTCATTCTCCCACAGAGACATCCCCACAGGATCAAAAACTAGCAAAAACAACCTTACAGGAGCTCCAAAAAAATAGCCAAAGGCCTACGGCAACCAGGAGAACACCCAGCCAAGAAGCCATGCTCAAAATGGGAGGAAATCTATCCTTCGAACGGCCTCCACGCTGGTGATCCTAACACATCTACAGGATCTTGCTACTTCCCTACTTATGTACCTTCGCAGGCAACCTGCAAGGTGAAATTTGAATGTGGCTTCTGCAGAGCAAGGCCCTCCACCATTTGATCTCATCTGTTCCATCAATTCCACACCCTGGTGATGACTTCCAAGTCCTCATACCTACTAGACGCTTTCATGACTCCATCAGTCTTGCCTCTCCTCCCCCGCCCGGAAGCTGGCCAGCCCAACCACCAAGATCCAACTCACTCATTGTCCCCAACCTGCAGCTCTCTGTAACTTCCCTTTTCAAGCTTTAGACGCTGCGCTTCGCAATGCACCTGCTTTCCTATCCATCCTCCCTACATGTAGGCACCTAATTCCACGCTTACACACCTACACCAAATACCTAACATATAGGGCAGCCCGGGTGGCTCAGCAGTTGAGCACCTGCCTTCAGCCCAGGTCGTGACTCCGGGGTCCTGGGATCGAGTCCTGCATCGGGCTCCCTGCATGGAGCCTGCTTCTCCCTCTGCCTGTGTCTCTCATGAATAAATAAAATCTTAAAAAAAAAAAAAAAAACTAACATACTGCCTGACCGCAGACACTATTTAGTATTTCCGAATTAAACATTCTCTCCTGACCCCTCCCCCCCAAAAAATAAATAAATAAAATCTAGACTCCTGGAAGCCTCTTCTCTCCTACTGTTTCTGTCTCGCCCTGCGTATCTTCTTTCAATTTAAGGAAACTGCGTAAAACATCTTTTCTGAAAATGACCCTTACGATTTTTTTTAAAGATGTTATTTATTTACTCATGAGACACACACACACAGAGAGAGAGAGAGAGAGAGAGGGAGGTAGAGGCACAGGCAGAGGGAGCAGCAGGCTGCACGAAGGGAGCCCGACGCGGGACTCGATCCCCGTACCTGGGGTCACGCCCTGGGCTGCAGGCGGCGCTGAACCGCTGAGCCCCCGGGGCTGCCCGGCCCGTTACGACTTCAAGGCTCCCTGGACACGGGCTGAAACTTTCCAGCTCGGATACTTCACGAGCTGTGTCTCTGACCTTGCCACACCAGTTCCAAGAAAGGCCGCTCAAAGATAAGCATGTTGTTCTACGAACAGCTTTTCAACTGACGTCAGTTAAGCGCACCCCGGGGCGACCCGGGCTAAGCCAGGCCGTCCCGGGGTTTCGGGGCAACGCCAACACCGAGCCCCCGGAGGTCCGGGGTCCGAGGCTTCAGGCAGCCGGCACGTGTAACAAGAGGCAAACACCGTCCCGGGCTAACGGGGTTTGCGATTGTTCTGCAGACTGCAAGGGCCGCCCCTGAGCCCCAGGACCACGACGCGGGATCCGCAACAACGCACAGGGCCGGGCAAGCCGACAGGTGCAAGCGGGGACCCCGGGGTCGCTGACCCAGCCTACCTGGTAGACGGCAGAGCCCGAGTCTAGCTGGGTGCCCAGCCTGGCCGGAGAGTCGCCGTGATAAGCGCGCGGCCGGGGGATGAGGGCGCGGGCGCACGGCCGTGGGGCCAACCTCAGGGCAGCCCACATGACGGCCGGCACGGAGCGACGGCGAGCGCTAGCCGCAGAGCGGCCCGGGCAGCCTCACGCTTGCTCCTCCCCCGCTCCGGCTGCCCCGCTCCGGGAGGCGGCCCCTCACCGAGCCTCCCCGCGGCTCCCGCCGACCCACACCGCTCCCGGACTCCGGTCAGCCATGGCGCGCGCCTGCGCACGCCGGGCGTTAAAGGTCGTCGCTGCGCCCACTGAGCTCGGCCAATCAGGGGCAGAGGCGCAGTCCCGCGAGATCCGGGGCCACGGGCCGGGCTGCGCCGCCGGAAGGGCAGGGCTGGAGGGGCGGGCTTCCGTTTCTTAGGTGTGCCCTTTGGGTTCTTTTTCTACCTGTTGTTTTCTTTTTGTCCTTTTCTTTTTCTTTTTTCTTTTTTTTTTTAGATTTTATTTATTCATGAGACACAGAGGCAGAGACACAGGCAGAGGGATAAGCAGGCTCCCTGCAGGGAACCCGATGCGGGACTTGACCCCGGGGTCACGACCTGGGCCCAAGGCAGATGCTCAACCGCTGGGCCCCCCAGGCGCCCTTTTTGCCCTCTTAATAGAAGGGGACTGGGAACTTGAAAAAATCTTACCCTTATAGGAGAGCTGGCAACCGAACAGGAATCAGACTGTCCTAAGAAACAAAAGTCCTTGGAGGAGATGCATGTTTACTCATCTAACAAATGTTTTTTTTCCCCGTGTCCCCTGTGTCAGTTGCTCTTCTGGCGCTGGGTCTTAACAACTTGGCGAGTCTTCCAGCTTCGTCTTCAAGTGTTTTTGTTTGTTTCGTTTTGTTTTTGTTTTTGGCTAGTTACGATCGGCTTCTTGAGATTCCGTATTAAGTTTAGTATGGGTTTTTCTGTTTTCTGCAAAAAAAAAAAAAAAAGTCACTGGGGTTTTGATAGGGGTTACATTGATCTGTTGCTCACCGTTGTTAGTGTTGACATCTTAACAGTATTAAGTTTTACAATCCATGGACACGAGATGTGTTCCCATGTATTTGTGTCTGATTTCTTTTTTCTTTTAATTGTATTTACTTATTCATGAGAGAGAGAGAGAGAGGCAGAGACACAGGCAGAGGGAGAAGCAGGCTCCATGCAGGGAGCCTTATGCCAGACTCGATCCCAGAACCCCGGGAATCATGCCCTAAGCTGAAGGCAGCACTAAACCGCTGAGCCCCCTGCGTGCCCCTGTGTCTAATTTCTTTCCATAATGTTTTGTGGTTTTCATCATGCAAATCTTACACCTCCTTGGTTAAATCCTATTTTATTCTCTTGAGTACTGTTGTAAATGGGATTATCATCATAATTTCCTTTTCAACCTGTTACTAGTGTGTAATGCAGCTGATTTTTGTGTGTTGACTTTATATCCTGCTGCTTTGTTGAATTCGTTCATTAGTTATAGAAAGTTTTGGAGGGGGAGGTTCTTTAGGGCTTTCTACATATTTGTCATCTGCAAAGTGATTGTTTTACTTCTCCCTTTTCGCTTTGAATGCCTTTTATTTCTCTTTATTTCTTCCCTAATTGCTCTGACTAGGTGATATTTGCTGTCCGTCAAGAATACTTCGAGCTTGGAGATCAGCTCCTCCACCTTCAGTCAGAAGATGAAATTGCCATTATCTCCCCCATTAGTGGAGGGTAGTGCTCTGGAGCCACTTAGGAAAGATCTGAATGAAGTTGAAGAGAAACCTAAAGATATAATAAAATTCACTGCTGAGAACCTCTCCATAGATGAAGTCTCACAATTGGTGATTTCTTCACTCTGTGGTGCAGTCTCTTGTGCAGACTACAAGAAACAACTTTGAAGGGAAAAAAACTCATTAGTTTAGAATATGAAGCATATCTACCAATGGCAGAAAATGAAATCAGAAAGATCTGTAGTGACATTAGGCAGAAATGGCCAAACACATAGCAGTGTTTCAAAGACTTGGCTTAGTTCCAGTATCAGAAGCGAGCGTTATCATTACTGTGTCCTCGGTCCATAGGGCCTCATCCCTCCAGGCTGTGAGCTATGCCATTGATACTTTATTTATTTTTTAAGATTTCATTTTTATTTATTCATGAGAGACTGAGAGAGAGAGAGAGGCAGAGACACAGGCAGAGGGAGAAGCAGGCTCCAGGCGGGAAGCCCAATGTGGGACTCGATCCCCGGTTTCCAGGATCAGGCCCTGGGCTGAAGGCAGCAGTAAACTGCTGAGCCACGCGGGCTGCCCTGCCATTGATACTTTAAAAGCCAAGGTGCCCATATGGAAAAAGGAAATTTATGAAGAATTATCATCATCTTGGAAAAGAAACAAAGAATGCTTTTGGGCAACTGATGATTAAGTCACACATTTTTTTGAGTACTAAAATTAATTTTGGTGAACTTCTGCCTTAAAAAAAAAAAGTACTATGTTGAATAGCAGGGACAAAAGTGAAGTTTCTTGCCTTGTTCCCAATCCTCAGAGGAAACGCTTTGAGTCGTTCACCACTGAATATGACGTTTGCTGTGCGTTTTTCGTATGTGGCCTTTACAATGATAAGGTAGCTTTCTTCTATTTCTAGTTAGTTGGTCGTTTTTATCGTGTAAGAGTGTTGAATTTTGCCAAATGCTTTTTCGGCAGTAATTGAGATGATCCTATGTGCGTTTTTTCTTTATTCTGTTCATGTGTGTTTTAGGGATCAATCTTGGCATATTGAACATGATCCTTGCATTCCAGGAAAAAAACCCCACTTGGTCATGGTGCATAATCCTTTTAATATGCTGAAGGGGATCTCTGGGTAGCTCAGTGGTTTAGCACCTGCCTTCAGCCCAGGGCGTGATCCTGGGGTCCCGGGATCGAGTCCCATATTGGGCTCCCTGCATGGAGCCTGCTTCTCCCTCTGCCTGTGTCTCTGCCTCTCTCTCTCTCTTTCTCTCATGAATAAATAAAATCTTAAAAAATAATATGCTGTTAAATTCATTTCACCAGTATTTTATTGAGGATTTTTGCATCAACATGCATAAAGGATATTGGTCCATATGGTTCTTCTATCTTTGTCTGGCTTTGGTATCAAGATTATGGTGGCCTCAGAATGGGTCAGAATGTGTTCTCATCAATTTTTTGTAAAAGTTTGAGGAGGATTGGTATTAGTTGTTTTTTACTTTTATTTTTTCAAGTTTTTATTTATTCATGAAAGACACAGAGAGACAGAGACACAGGCAGAGGGAGAAGCAGGCTCCATGCAGGAGCCCGATGTGGGACTGGATCCTGGGAACCCGGGATCACACCCTGAGCTGAAGACAGACACTCAACCTCTGAGCCACCCAGGTACCTCAGTATTAGTTCTTTTTTAAATGTTTGGTAAGATTTACCAGTGTAGCTATAAAGTCCAGTGCTTTTCTTTGTCAGGAGGTTTTTGTTTTGGTGTTGGTTGTTTGTTATTGTTATTGTTTTTGATTACTGATTCGATCTTCTTACCATAGATCTATTCGAATTTTTTCTTTGTGAAATAATCTTGGTAGATTTTTGTGTTGCTAGGATTTGTCCATTTCATCTAGTTACCCAGTTTGTGGGCGTACAGTTGTTCATAGTGTTCAGTTTACTTTTTCTTTTAGGGAATACAGTATGTCAACTTACAAAATGGAAATAAAGATGTTTTTACCTCTTTCTCTTATAAATTATCTCAAAGCAACAAAGGAATATAAAAAAGAATCCATATCCTACCTTCAATTAAAATAGGAGATATGGGATGCCTGGGTACCTCAGCTGGTTAAGCAACTGACCAACTCTTGATTTTGTCTCAAGTCATGACCTCAGGGTCATGAGATTCAGCCCCTTGTCAGGCTCCACACTGGGTATGAAGCCTGCTTGGGATTCTCCCTCCCTCTCTCTCTGCTTCCCTGCCCCTTACAGGTACATACACTCTCTCTCTAAAATAATAATAATAATAATAATAATAATAATAATAATAATAATATATGAGATATATGAAGACAGCAGGCAAAAAAATAGGAAAAATAAATTTTTTTCCCAAAGCTTTTATTTATTTATTCATGATAGAAACAGAGAGAGAAAGAGAGGCAGAGACACAGGCAGAGGGAGAAGCAGGCTCCATGCCGGGAGCCCGATGCGGGACTCGATCCCGGGTCTCCAGGATCGTGCCCTGGGCCAAAGGCAGGCGCCAAACCGCCGAGCCCCAGGGATCCCCGGAAAATATTTTTCCAGGGATCCCCGGAAAATAAATTCAGAAGGAAAAGAGGAAGCTGATATCTAAGTGCTTGCACTGGAAGATTAAAAAAACAAGTAAACAAGTTGATTTGCCTCCCGGAAATCCCTACAAGGCTCGGGAATTGGTGGTACTGGAAACAGAGGAAGGTGTGGGTGGGTGTGGGGAGCAGTGGTAGAGACCAGGAAACAATGAAAGTACTTGAAAATCTGTGTCAGAAGCAGTTAGAACCCTAGGTTTTCACTCCCACTTTGCCCAGAAGTTAGAAGATATATTTTATCCGGAGAAACTGAATCTCGGATGTTCCTTTTTTTTTTTTTAGAAAGAATGATGCTCTTTTTTTTTATTTTTATTTATTTATGGTAGTCACAGAGAGAGAGAGAGAGAGGCAGAGACACAGGCAGAGGAAGAAGCAGGCTCCATGCAGGGGGCCTGACGTGGTACTCAATCCCGGTCTCCAGGATCACGCCCTAGGCTGCAGACGGCGCTAAACCGCTGCGCCACCGGGGCTACCCTCGGATGTTCCAAATACAGGAACAGTAGGCAAGAGTGAAGCGCCAGATTGAAACCACCAAGATTAACTAAAAGTCTGGAGGCCAAGTCAAGAAAGCTCTGTTCCCCAATGCCCGTTTTCCTCCGAGTTCTAAAATGTTGGCTACTGGGTTCTAATAGGAAGGCATCTGGAGAAACCTTGCCACCTCACAGAAAGGATAGAGTGATATTTGAGGTTTCCCAGTGGAGAAGCACCTTGGAAAATAATACACCTACAGTGTAATCTACAAATTAACGTGTCCTATCTGCACTTCAGGAAGCTTGTAAAATCTCCCAACTTTTTAGAAAATTTCTCTAACATATGCATGGATAGCCAAGGATCAACAGGCATTAGAGCAAAGTCTTCAAAATGAAAAAGACCCCCACCACAACCAAGAAAACCTCAGAAGAAACCAGCAGTACAAGGAACAGAAGCAACTGGAACATCCTTAGAGA